GTTTATTGACAAAGATCTGAAAGTTCATAACCATATCAGCAAGATAATCAACACAGCAAGTTTTAGTATGGAAAAGATTCAAGGATCATACAGATTACTCAAAAAGGAAACATTTCTCACACTATACAAAGTTATGGTGAAAATGCATCTGGATTATGTAAGTACAGGTTGAGCTTCAAACAAGTTACAAATCATGTAATTGAATGTGTGCAGAAGAGCAACAAAACAATTATCAAAGGTAAATACAGAGATATACTGAAAATGATAAAAATACTTCCATGAATCTATATAAGAATAAGCAGGGGTGTTATTGTGTTTTACACCTTGGTAGCAGGATGACCAACATCATGGTAGGGACAAACAATAGATGTGAAAGAGAAGTATGGGAGGGAACAAACACTGAGGTGATAGAATAATCAATGCAAAGAGGAAAAATTATATGAGATACTGTGTTGTAAAAGTCTACTATAACATGTTATAGACCAGTGGTTCTCAACTTTTTCAGTTTGACAACTCACTAAAAATATAACCTAGATTTCTGCAACAAACTAGCTATTTACTCCATTATTATAGGGATACAAATGTATTACACATATAAACACTAACTATATTCACTTGAAACTGTAGGAACTACTGTAAGATTACTCACTAAATAAGTTGTAATTAATGGGAAATTTAGGTTAACTAATATGAACTTTCTGCATTTTTCTAAAGTTTCAAACTAAAATGGCAGTATTTCAAAAGAAAGGTATATTCGTCTGCAAAATATTAGGCAACACTTGGAAGGTAATAACAACACGCATGTTGAGAACCACTGTTATAGATCCTCCATCATATCAATGCACTAAAAATAGACTTGGTAAAGGCTGGGAATAAATCAAGCTGAATTACATAACTACAAAAGCATTCAGAAGACTGAATGATGATTCAGTTATGAAACAGCTCCAGAGTATCCTGTTGAAGTATAAGGCACCTGTGGGATGAAACACATAAGGTATCATAAGATATTGTAAGGAATCACATAAACACAGCAAAATATTAACCAAGGAACTGAATAATTGAGGATAAGTGACAAAAAATAAGTGTTATTTATGACAAGATATAGATAACTGGCAATATTGACATATGACTCAACTCACAACAGCAAATACTGTACATGCAAGTCACTCCAGATTAAAGCAAATGTTGTATGTCACATTTACTGGTTTGAAGTTGACCAATAAAGCTTTCTGTATGATGAAGTCTACAAATACAAATAACAAACTAAATAAACATATAAAATAAGGTGTTGTTTCATCTAAATTTGAAAAAGAAATTTCTAAAAAACAAGACAAAAAACAGTAATATGCTGCTGTTTTCTTCTAAAACTAAGAATCTCTAGATACAATGTGTATCAATGCTGGTATTTTTTGTGTTCCTGTCACATAAAAATTTTCGTAGAAGAATATTCAACAAAATATAATCAGTATTCCTCTTGTGATGACAGTGAAAATTAGCCTAAAAAAATATGCTTTGAGAAATCCATATAGATTTTTCATACAAAAGTTAACTGCACTATCATAGACAGATAAAGAAAGGAATGAGGAAAAAAATGAGGAAGTTTTCAAATGTTTGGTGTGAAGTTATATAAGCAAGTACAAGCCTGACTAAATATCTCAATTGACTTGTAACCATATCAGTAGCACAATGACCCACTAGCCAAGGAATACAAGAATGAAAAAAAGAATACAACTTGGCAACTCCTCAAACACCAACTACTCCTCCTGTCAGCTTTGCTGTCATATGATATAAGACAAGTCAGAATGTTGAACCAGTACAAAACAATAAGTTGCCGAACTTACATGAAAGAATGAAAATCTAGGAAGCAGCCCTTTTCGACAAAGTTCAACTTCAGTCCACAACAGAGTAAATGGAGCCCATTGCCCTGAGTCATGGATTCTCTGAAGATCAAATGTTCAAAGGAGAGCAATTATGGAAGCATAGCTCCACATATAATGAATGTATAAGTGATGCTATGCATTGGATCATACCTAGAGAAAAATGGAGCATGCTCAAAAAGTAAGGAAGGAGTGTTCTTCAAACCTAGCATGAACTAATACAGGTCTGAATACTTGGCAGACACTCATTCTTCTCAAGACTTCAGGATACAAAGTAGTAACACCAAAGAATCAGAAAGACCAAATCATGTAAATAATGATGAGTGAGAGGGAGCCATTAACTGGAGAAAAGCAGCAAGAGTCATGTGAAAAAACACCTCTATACAGAGAGTCCATAGAAGTTGGTTCAATGGCATAACATGAAAAGAGGAAACTAAAGACACTGCACAATGACCATGAAGGAGAGGTGCCTCACCCTGAGATGTCAGATGATAAAGCAAATTCAGAGAATGGACTTCCAACATCAGACCAGTGATATGAACAAAGAAAGTTGGGTGGGGAAAGTGAACACCTGTAAAAATGTACAAGTTGAATTAAATTAACCCCTTGCCGACGGGGATGGCATGTACGTACATGCCATGCCCACTGCGAGTCAACTTGTTTGATTGTTTTTACACATAGATGGCTACACTTGTACTAAGTCACCAATGAGACAATTACGAGTACTGTCTGTCTCGCCCGTTCACCCTTTTCATCTATTTACAAAAATATTTAAGGTTATCCTAATTTGCTGTTAAAAATAACACCATCTATATTCATAGCACAAGTAAGAATACTTTTTTTTCCCACCAATTCAAGTAAAGGTTAAATCAGGACTAGCAGAGCCATATATGTACATAGATATTTCACAAAAATATAAAAAATGAGTACAGCATTTTCCCCATTTTTTATTAATTTTCCCCGGTGGCAATGGGTTAAAGCCATGGGGGAAATGAAGCACATTCTTCACTCCAGTATTACCTTTATAACTTTTATCTTTTAGCTCCAACCAGACTGCCAACTGAATTAAGCCAGAGAGAAGCTCCAAGTGTGTAAACTCAAGGATGTCATGAAACAATCCATGGAGGCTTCCTGAAGAGCATTCTTCAACTGAGGAAAAGAATAAAGGCACCAGCAGAGGAAGGCATGTATTCACAACTGCACCACCCACAATGGAGCTATTATAATGCATCCATAGAATTGTTTCAGGTGGCTGATGACCAGAGCATGATGAAGTCAAGAGAAGAGGAAACAGGTAAATGTACAGCCACCTGTTCCAGTCCACCAGGAAGGCGTATAAACATTCCTATGGGGTATTATTCTAGTTGGACAAAAATATCCTGATTCTGGCATTGACTGAAGATGTGGACTGTCACTCTGGAGTCTCCTTGATCTCACCGTCAGGTTGTGGAAGTTACTGTTGTTCAAAGCTTAGTTAACTGGCAAGTGAGACTGACTTGAACAGGCATCTATCCCTTGAATCTTGTCCCTTCAGAAATGGAGATGTGAAAGGCACAGAAACATGTCACCCAGAAAATTCTCTTGGCAGTTGGTTGAGAGTGTGATCCAGGGGCATCAATTAGGAGGGGTGGCAGTTGTCCCCTAAGACTCAGTTTGCCCCTACAAGGTCTGGTCTTGGTTTGCATGGGTGTAGTCCTTTAAATTTGGTTACAGACAAATACAAAACACAATATACTGCTACAAAAATAATAATAGAATAATACTGTATATTCATATACAGTAATACTAGTTTTAATTACTTGCCAATATAGTCAAGAGCAGATGTTTGCTTCTAAATATGTATGTATTGTGATCACATCAGTATCACCAGTACAGCACTTCAGTTTGTCACTAGGGCTCACTCTCTTTCCACAAAACTGTAATCCAACTAGTGATGGTGGAAATACAGCAGGAAGTGAAAAATACCTGGGCAATGGAAATCATCTGAAAATAAAGCAAGGAAGGTACTGAGACTTACGTATTGAACTGGCTGAAACTCAGAAGAATCCTTTTATAAGACCTTGAATAGGTGGGCTAAAATTCTTCTTGCCTCACTTTTGCCATGTCTACAGAAGACCAGATGAGATAATGTGCTGATCCCAACCCTCTTTCAGGTCCTAGAAGAAATTGTTTATTTATTATTCAGCAAATACTTAAAAAATCTATTCAGTAAATTTATTTTATATATAGTATTTTTTCTGTCAAGATGAGAGTTCTGAAACTTTTTTCTTCAATCTCTTTTTGCTCAAATTTAAGTTTTAACTGTCTATAGACCAGTAAACTAGTATTATATCAAAATGCTTTTACAAGTGCACAGTGTTTTTTAAGTAAATAATTTTAAAAAACATTATGAGTAATCTTACATGAAAAATTTATTCTTCATCATGGATCATCTCAAGACTAATGAATATTACCAACACAAATCCCTCATCAAGTGGACTGCTGCAGAACTGTTCAAATTCCCAAAGTGATTCCTGAAAAAATTAAAAGCAGTTGAAAACACAAATATCAGATAAACTTTCTTATTACATGTTTTTGTAATGTTATTGATCATTTCTAAAAAATAGTTATAACACTATGACTTATGACTTTCAGGAATCCTTAAGTCTAGACTGATGGCAAAGTATATAGAGATGAAACAACGGGAGATCCAAAATATATAAGAAAAATACTAGTAATACTATAACATTAAAACTTAGGTAAATATTTATACAATTCAATAGCATTTATATAGTTTTATATTCCCTATTTTCCAAAATAACTTTCCTTTGCAAACTTAAAACTATTTCCTATATTCTCAAGCTAACTATTTTCTTCTACATGTCCTTTGTATGTCCCTTTGAAATTGAAATTATGATAGTTGTTTCATTTTGATTTTAACTTTGAAAAATTAAAAGGAATGACTACTTGTTGATGATGATGATGAAGACGACAACAACAACAACAACAACAACAGCAATAACAACAACAACAACAAAATCCTGCTCATGTTTTGCATATGAAAAATGCATATACAGAATCTATTACATCATGCAGTATGACAATACTAAGTGAAGATGAATAATCAAAAACAATAATCAAAATCAATAATAATCAAAAGTGACACATTGTATTCTATGCAAGACAACCCCAAACATACAGATGTTCCCTGTGTACATTAATTTTGAGATGTGGAGAAAATGGAGGTAATTATTCATAATATGACTACACAGAAATCATGAAAAAAATATGAAATGATCATAAAAAATAAAACAGTACTATTAGGTAAATCAGAGCAAAATGGTGTTGGTTTCAGTTACATAGTCTACATCAAAACCACTGATGTCTTTCTATTTTTTAAGGAAATGAAGTATGTAGCTTGGGCAGTTCAACAAATCTTTAACTACAGCAAAATGGACTGTCAGAAAAAAAAAAGATCATAAGTCAAAATTCAATGTACTGTTTTTCATTACATTTATATTTTTGCTAGAAATATGTATCACCCCCCCTTCTTGCCCAAAAAATTTTCCTTGTATTTCAATTAAGCTGAAAAATACCAACACTAAAGATTTTCTTTTTATCAGCATGTATGTCTACACTAACACAAGATATGAATGTGATCATGAGATATCAAAAAAAAAAAACTATTTATCTCCATCATCCATACAGAGAACTTGCAGTCAGTACGAATATATAATAAACTTTATAAAGTACTTGCCATTCAAGCAACAGGCCAAATAGCTTGTACACCTTGTATCTCTTATTCCATCCTTTAGCTCTTGGAAGTACACTGTAGTAACTTTCCCAGAATTGCTTATCAAAACCTCCGTACGATTTTGCAATTGATAAATCAAATTCAAAATGGCCATAGAATGCAGCAGGATCAAAAATCACTGGAAAAAAAAAATTTCATTAAAATTCAACCAAAATAGCATGTGGACTTCTTACAGGAGTATTGGTACTGTCTGAGTTTTATAAATCAGTGTATGAATGAGCATCAATAGTGAAAAAAAAAGCTTTTTCTAACCACCTGGACAATCGGTAATCTCAGCCACATTGCCGCTCCAAAGGTCACCATGGCATAAAGATGGCTTTATGTCCACATCCTTGAAAAACTGAGGAAGTTTCAGTTGCAAAAACGACCAGAGCTCTCTTACTTCACGATTGCCAAACTGTAAATTGGATATGAAAAAAATCATCTTGAAAAAGAATGATTTGCCATCTTACAATATTGTTAAAGATGATCAATATTTTCCTTGGTTGTTCAAACACTGTCAAAAATGAGAATAATAATTATAAAGAGGGCTGCCAGAGTTTCTAACTCTTGATTACCAAAATGTACTGCCAGGTTAATTCTCATGCTCAGATTGGCTGCCAGTATCATTAAGGGAATAGAAAATGTATTGAACCCTGAGTGTAAATCACCAAATTAAATTTGATTTGATAATATCTCTTCTAATATGAAAATATGTAATACAAATTAAATATGAGTTAGATAATATTCTTACTTGGATGTAAAATAGGAGATAAATGTTCAAAATTATGGAATCTGCAAAATTACCAGTAGTGATGTCATAGATTCTTACTATGTCATGAATATGTCACAGTGTATCGAAAATGTCATGAAAACATCACTATGTACCAAATTTGACAATCCTGATTCTAATGATAAAAGGCAAATTAGAATATCAAGAGTTTCAAAATAAATGCAAACCATTTGAATTTTTGAAAATGTACTAAAATGAAATGATTGACAAATCTATAATTCTGTAGAATGAACTTAATAAGAGATTAAAAAATAAGTCAACTATTTTCAGTGTAATCTGAAATAAGCTGACTGACAAATTCAATAATGCAAAGCCCTATGGAGAGACAGTATAGCTCTCTCGTTTGTTTGCAGATGTGCAGCAGCAATGCAATAAGTAAAAACAATTCTCATAGACAGCAATTTGAAAGAAAATATAACTAAGTCTAGCTATAAGATAAACCTTACAAATCCAGTAAACATGTTACCAGACCAGACAGGTACCAGAAAAGTTGTCTTTGCTAACCAGTGAAGATTATGGTAAAAAAGGTAAAATATATATACTATACTACTGGTACTGCAAAATTCTGCAAGTAATATAAGAGTATTCTTTGCATGTGATACAAATAATATAAAGAAGTACTTGCAAAAGATGGCCAAGGCTAGTCATGCAAAAATGATCATATTAAAATCATCATTCTGAACCAAGGGGGTTCACTATACTTTATTGAAAGGGAAATAAATATATCAGAAATCAGTGTCTTGATTTTGAATGAAAAATGCCATTTAGGATGAAAAAAAAAGAGTCCATGACATTTAGGGAAAATATCTATGTATAGAGGTAGAAAAAACATAGAGATGGAATCCAGGAGGAGTTTGAAACTCTCATTTTTAAAAAAATCTAAAACAGTATCAACCTGGTTGAGTTTTACCATTTATCTATATAAAAAAAAAATATATATATTAAGAAATTAAAGGAAATTCTTGTATATAGCAAACATCCAAAAATTACTAATACTTTAAAAAAACTATCAAAGATTAATGCCACAAGTATTTTCAATAGCAAAACCAGTGAAGATT